GTGGTAAAAGAAAGAGCGAGTAGCGCAGGCTTAAGTCATCGAAGATTATATGAGTCGAATGATGGTTAAACCAAATCATCAGCATCACAAAATTTCACATGGATACATAGGCATGTACATTAATATACATAAATAAATAAACAAATATATATGTATGTATATATCGGTTTTAACACGTACAAGCTTACCTTTAGAGAAATCGTGTAGAGGTGGAGGAGTCTAGTTTTCCTAGAATCACAGTGCTATAGCGTCAAGGAAAAACGAGAAAGGTCGCAAGGAAGTGAATGATGAGAAAATATGGATAGTATAACTAAGTGTAACTTAAGACAGAAGTTGAATCCGCTCAGGAGGCGGAAAGACCGATAGGAAGTCAATGGTAATTAAGATGGTGTTATTAAGGATATGTAACAAATAAGGAATCTAAAGAAAAGTTTAAGAACAATTACCGGTAGATGAGGTGTACAATGTTGGTATTGAATTATCTACGGATAAACCAACGGAGAGAGCAGCTGAGGTTGATGAGGTTGAGGATATACTTAATGCTTGAGAGGCAGCTGGCTGAGGCTGAGAGATGGATGTCGTGGAGACACAAGAAGTCTGAGATCCAGGTACAGAGCGTTTATCTTTGATACCAACACGTGAGAATATTATAGGAGGCTCAAAAGCGATCAGTTCTTCGAGACCATTTCCATTGCCATTACCACTATTATCGGCAGCAGTGGCGCTGGTAATTGCATCAGAGCCAGAAATCCCAATACTAATTTTAGAAACCTGGCAAGAGGGTACTGAAGAGGAAGCTGTGCTTTGAGGTTGAGAATAGAACCCAGAAACACCCTCGATATTACTAAGACCCTCAACATTATATTCATTAACGTTGATAGGATGTTCCGTCAACTGGCAGTTTTGATTATCTGAGGCCTATTGAAAGAAGATATAAAAAAATGACATTTAGTCAAGCGAAAAGGCATTTTTAAGATAATCAAACAATATAATACATCTCAGGTGACGAGGAATAGAGCGGAACTTATCTGTCATACAATATTAATATGGAATCTTCGCAGTGATAAAAGACAAGACAGAAATTTACATATTTCACTAATTCGTACATAACCAAAACCATACAATTTTGTTTAATTCTGGTAGCGATATGCTATCAACAGCGAATTAAAACTAATTCTTAAAAAATGGTTCTTTGGATTACAGACCGAGTCTGCGCTAAAGATTTAAGATAAAAGTGTCTTATGGTAAACGAACATCTTTAAATAAGAGGGGCCCAACCTAACTTAAGGCTGGATTTAGGCTTTATTGATAAATCAGATTTATGCCTGACAAGAATACTATCTAAGCCTTTCACTTAAAAAACGGTTTCAAAAGATTAAGGAATCGCATGTAAGACTTAATCAATAATATAAAAGACGAATAAGATTATATCAATTTAAAAAGGGTAGTTTTAAATGCCTATTATAGAAAAAAAATAAAAATAAGTTAAGATGAAACCCCAAATAAATCTAATATTACGTGAAAATATCTTAATAGACAATATTAAATGGAGGCAAAAGTTCAACAGAAGGTTGACAAGAATGAGATAATAAATAGCACATAAAAAAATACAACACATTTTCCAATTAGTTTCTTCAAAGCAAAAAGGTTTCAATAGAGACTAATAACAATATCTTGGTAAGCATCAATAATCCTCGAAATAATTTAAGGGATTAAACTTGTGAGAACAAGGCATATTCTCCG